TCCAACCCACTCTAGGATTCCAACATGGATTGGAGGTCCCTAACTTTACACTGCAATAAAAAAGAAGCAAGGAATTAACTGCTTTCTGTGCCTTAATGTAACATCTGCTTTGGCTCTTAGGGCACAAATCAGTGATAATTAAGACACTTAAATCTTGTTGATTTCACTGAGAGAGCAAAGCACATGTTTAACTCTCTGCTACTGAAATGTATTTGATTTTCAAATGCTTAATTTTGGCTTGATTATTCTTATGCAATGTAATCTTATGCTTGTTTGTTCAGACTCAATTTTCACTGTATTTGTTCAATGGTTCTCAGTCCTCATTCATCATTGCAACCAAAATTTCAAGTGCAAAAAACCAACCTGAAAACCATGTGAAGATTGCTTGTATTACATGCCTAACGGTTTCAAAAACATATGGCTCTGTTGCTCAGTAGTTTACTCTCTAGTCTGAATCACACAGTGTAAGTATTGTCAACTAGTCTTCTGATAAAAGAGCCGATACACTATATTTTTAATAGTGGCAATATTATGAGGAACAATCTCATGCTGCTGGGATCTTTTCAGAAAGTACAACCAGGTACATTACTTACTGGCTATCATACAGTTATACAGGTTGTGCTGGCTGTCTACAAGGTCCTTGAAGGCAATCATTGCACAGGATTTATTATCATCATTCTTCCCATTGTTCAAATGCTTTGTTTACACTTACATTACCCTGCAGCTTACAGCTGTGTCCCAGTTCATGTATTTGGCTAAGCAAAGGTGGAAAGAAAAATGAGTGAGACAGGAATACAAGAGGTGAAGAAACTGAAACATGCTCAGCTGCAAAGGTAGCACAGAAATAGTACACCAAGGAAGGCTTCTTGATTGACTCTGACTCTTCATGGTGTTAGTCCACTCTTCCAGCTACATGAGACCTAATTATTAATTCCATTTTAATGTATGAGCTCCTGTTTCATACAATTCTCTCTTGCATCCTAGGCTCCCCAGAATCTGTGCTTTTTCTTCATGTGAGTGCATTTTGCACAGAAAATATGGCCTTATGAAAAGTTGAGCTGTCTTCCACTTATGTCAGTTTGGAGTGCCAGTAGCACTCTCAAAGATTTTTCATTCATAAAATTGCATAACATTTTTGTTGATGCATGCGTGTGTGTGCCTTCTTTCTGAATCTTTCTGTAATACTTGGTCCCTTCCATTTGTGCAGTTCTCTGCAAAATACTTTAATCAAAAAAGCTAATGGTTTATGTATGATTTAAAAGAATAGTAAACCTTCCCAAAATCCATGAAGTTTAACATGACTTTTTTCTCTTGATTTTTTCATACATTCATGGAACAAGTTGCAAGTTGCGATTATGGCAACTCTTCCTACTGGCATCCATTGTGAATACAGCACATATAATTGTTCATGCAATAATTTCTGCACAATCTGAAACACTTGACAGGGTACTGGGACCCATAAGCAAGTTGTGAGTTGCTGGTGCTGGCCTGCTCCCCACACACCAAGATTAGATATCTTGCTTAACCACAGTCCTTACACACTTGTTTACCATTCTACTGCAAGGTTTAGCTTGAGAAAACTTTATTGACATTGTTGTTATCAACAGAATTCTGTGTATTTTCCTATAACCAATGGCAAGGAGTGCACACATTCCTAGCTAACATGTTCATACTAATATTCCCCAAATTAATTCACTGCTGATGTGCAGAGAAGAGAGTTGATCTCTTCATTTCCTATGCTATCTACTTAACAGGCAACATATGGGCTGAAATGTACCAGTATACCAGTATATACCAGTATACCAATATACCAGTACCAGTGGTTAGAATCCACCTGGAACATGATCAAGTACTTATGGGAAATAATATCCAGAACAGGTAACCTTCTGATAAATATTAATGGTTCAAATAACCAAACATTTCTGATCTTGCTGCGCTGTCTCTGATCTTGCTCAATAACTGAGTTTTCGAAATAAGACAAATACTACCCATGATTCCAATCTGACTGCTCTTGTCATTCCAGCACTCATTCTGTGGTTGCCAGCCTCACTATATTGGTTAAAAAAAGGCTGCCTCCTGATCAATCATTCAAGAATTCTTGCCTATTCCCAACAAAATGGAAGTATGTTTAACAAATACAAATTCTGAAAGAAATAATAATGTCATTTTGCAAGACTCTTATAGTCACCTTATGAATATTGTGTAATATTCTGGGTATGCTATCTAAATGTGTTTTGTTAGAAGCAATGACAGAAGGCAAAATGTACAGAAGTTTGTCTGAAAGTATTCAAGTTCCTTATTCTTGTTATCCATAGTTTATGTGAAATAGAACTAATACAGGCATTCCCAGAAAATGTGTTTGTTGTTTTATTATATTCATTCCAATCTTGCATGCAAGATGATTCATTATAGTAGTTCTGCATATATTATACACTCCTTTGTATTATTAGAATTATCTAAATAACATCTGAGGGGAATGCCCTGATTAGCATGTAAATTGTATCGTTTCTCCTGGATAGTCTTAGAGTGATGACTTATTCCTGAACATAAACAGTAAAAACCTGTCAAGTAAATTACAGAAAGTAAAATTATTAGCAGAATGACTTGGATGTATTTCACACAAACACTGAATGTGGTTTGTTGAGGGTGGGGGTCTTTTTGGTTATTTCATTTGAAGCCTACCTAGGCACTCAATTATATATCCTAGTCTAAAAAGGAAAAACCTGTTGTTCAGGTGTATAGTACCTACTTTGCCTGCAGAAGTTTTCAGGTTCAGTCCCTAATATGTGCACATAAGGCTAGAAAAGATTCCAGTATAAAATACTAGGAAGTCAGCACCAGTTAGTATGGAATCAACACTGTAATGATTACTGAGCCTGATTAGCTCATTGGTCTGCTTCTGGTATCTGGTAGCTTCCTTTGTTCACATACAAGGAAGCAGGAAGCTTGAAATGGCCATAGAAAATAACCCTTAAAATAGCTGTAGAATTTATTAGAAACTGATATGCTTCTTAGGGATGGTTGACATATGAAGGGGGATCCCGAAAAAACCCCAGGAATTTATTTATTAAAAAATTGTGTATTTTTTACATGTTCAGTCACCTTCAAAGTACTCTCTGTTTGATGCAATACACCTATCGAGACATTTTTTCCACTGCTCAAGACAAGTTTTGAATGCATTGATTTAGATGCCTTTTAGTGCTTCTGTCATTTTTTGTTTCACCTCTTCCACATTGGCAAAACATTTCCCTTTGAGGACTTTTTTCATCCAAAAGTTGCATGGGACAAATAGGGTGAATAGGGAGGGTGGGTCAAAAACTGCTGAACACTCAGCTGAACAAAATTTCACCGCTGCACGTCGTTCATGTAAATCAGCCATCATGAAAGAGGCAAACACACTGAAAGAGTCTCAAGAAAAAAATAACCAAAAAACCCCCTCAAACCCAAACCCTCTCTGAAGCTGAATGGAGCCTTTCACAACAACCCAGCTGGGTACACTGATGCAGTGGGGTTCCTAGAACACTCACCTAGCAGGCAAAGCCCACCCTCCAGAAGATAATTCCTGGGTTTTCTTAGTCCCCCTGTATGTATGTTTATGATTTGATACTTCATCTCCGACGAGTTGACAGATGTAACAGAAAAGTTCTCTCTGCAGTGATATGCCTGTACAACTATCATCTGATACTGCAGTAGAGATACTATACATGAGCAATGAGTGCATATATGAACTGCTCCTTAATCAATACAGATTCAAGATATTTTCTTTATCTTAAGTGCAGTACCATTGAATTTGAACCAGATTACTCTTTACGAGTATGTTGAGCATATGCTGAGCCCAAATGGTTTGGGAGTCATATAATTTCAAGGACTGCCTGCATCCATACAAAGCTCTCCATGTCTTAAAATGAGGCCCTACTCAGTGTCCCTCCTTTAAGATAAGTTTGATTTATGGACAAGGTTTTCACCGTAGTGGCTCCTACTCAGAGTGTCTCAATGTATGGCATTTTGGGTCCCTCAGTTGCAGCATTTAAAGAAGCAGCTTTGAAAACCCACATTTTTCAGATGGCTTTTATCTGATGTGTTTTATTGGCTGTGCTATTCTACTGCTATTTTTTTTGTTGTGACTCTGCAAATTTTTGGTTTTTTTCTTTTTTCTTTTCTTATTTTGTTTTGTTTCCTGACTGAATGTTAATGATTTGTTGGCTTTCTTTTAAATTTTGAAGTCATGCTATAACATACTGTTGTATTTTTATAGTTGTTGTTTGTTGGACAGACTTGACCTATAAAGGCAGCTTATAAATATTTACATACCATTAATGAAGGAATAAATAAACAATAAACAAATATTCTATGTTTTGAATCCAGGCCACTTTTGTTCAGTGACTGAAAATATTAATATATGACAATCATCAAACAGTTTGTGGAATATATGTCACAATGTTTTCAAGGGAAAACAATGTATGTAATTTTTGAGGGTGGTCTCTATCTAGGAAGCCTTTAGCACCCTAATGGGAAGATTTTCCCACTAAAAGGATATTTGTTTTTGTTATTGTCATCTCTCCAAAAATAAGGCACTCTCTAGACCTCAGAGCTGAGGGTGCCAACTCTTTGGTCCACACTACTGACACAGTGCAGCCACGCTCATCATCTCATCATGCAACCCTAGATATACTTGCAACATGCCTCCAGCACTCTTCTTAGTACACACATACTGTCTTCATATACTAATGTGAACTGCACCTGTGAATTCATGCTGGAATCAATTTAATTTTTAATAAAACACACAATAAAATAATGCCTTCACTTAATCCACCAACAGGACTAAAGAAAATACAGCTTAGAAATAATAGAACAATGAGGTATGTTTTTGCTACAAAGGGGAAGACTGGAAAATGAGCAACATATTTTACTAATGCAAATAATCTTTTCCTAACAGCTGGAAATATAACACCCACTTAGTATACCTATAATCCTAACATACTCATTTTCTGTCTTTGCAGGCCGACCAGTAATGATTGTGGTTGAATACATGGAGAATGGATCCCTTGACTCCTTTCTACGGGTGAGGTGTCATTTTGTCAGGACATTTAAATAAGAAAGCATTCTAAGTAAAGATTTGAAATCATTTATCATAAATTAATTTTTACATAATGTTATTCATGGATTTTTAGTTGAAGAGAAGCATTTTCCCCAGGGTGCATTTCTTAGGTACAGTGATATATTAGACTAGCCAGGGAAAAAAGAAGATTTAAACTTAAGAATATAATTGATTTCTGCTACAAGTTCAGTTCCCATATTTAGCAGAATGTATTTGAAATGGTGTTATTATGAAGAAAAAGATAAATTGAAATGCAAATGCCTTGCCATATGGTAGCTGCTCATTTTACTTAGCCATATAGAAATATTTTGAGGGTTTTTCTCCTTTTTTTACTTAGGGGAATATGGTACAACTTCAGTAATTGATTTATAATTATTTATGATTGCTTGCATTTAAACAATTTGAATTAGGAACTGTTGAAGAGGCTTGGTAATAATCTTATTCCACTTAAGGTCAGTTGTTCTGCTTTTGTAAATGAATGTTGCAAAGTTGGGCAGCAAATGTTTATGTTTCTACTAGATATGCCCACTTCATCTGTAAATAATCATACCTCCAGTCTTTCAGATGTACATAGCTAAATGTAGAGAGCAGTTTATTGACATAGGTAGGTACATTGGTGTAGAGGCAGATGAGAAGCATTTGTCCTATTATTGCTTCCTGTTAGTTACAAGTTCCTCTGTTACTACAATTTATCAAGCATATAGGGTTTCATATAGCTTGAGGTTCCTAATACTGCCTAACCCAGGGTCAGGCCTGCTTGAAGTCCGGATGGGTGGCATAAATGTTGTGAACTGCCCAAAGAGCTTCAGCAATATAGGTTTGAGGCAATAAAGCTATCTTCAAGTTAACAGAATCTTTTTAGGATGGTACATGATCTGAACAAGCCATGCTGTCTACCCACACCTTCTGTCAAAAACAGAAAACTGAGAACTGGGGCACTGTAGCAGCTACAGCCTTCCTTAACATGTTTAGAAAATGGGGTGGATAATTAAAATAGTGCTTGCGGTACAGCTTTTTTGTGGCACCTTGGGAATACTGAAAATAGTAGGTTGGCTCAGCCACCTGGTGCAGATTTCATTGCTGCTTTATCTGACACCATCACTACTATTACCAGGTATGTGTGCCAAGGAAGGGATAGTATGGAGAGGGCCCAGCACACGCCTGCCAAATATGGAGCCAGTCCTGACTGTGAGGATAAAAAAGGGGGAAGGCACCATGGGCCACCCAGACCTCACTGAAGAAAACATAATTACTAAAAATAATATATAAAATAATGAATGCTCCTTGTCTGATTGTTTATTGATGATCAGTGCCTACCAACTTGGTGGGAACTGACTAACAGTCATCTGCAGTATCTAAGGACTGTGTCATTGTGACAGCATACTAATTCTTATGTTAATTCTTGTGCCAGTTTCTGAGAACCTCTGTGGCATAGCAGTTAAAGTGTTGGATTACTAGATCTGAGTTCTAGTGCCTACTCAGCCATAGAGCTCACCAGGTGACTTTAGGCCAGTCGCATACTTTCAGCCCAACTTGCCTCGCAGGGTTGTTGTTGTGAGGATAAGATTGAAAGGAAGAACTTGTAAGCATCCTTGAGTTCCCTGCAAGAGGAAAAAAGGCAGGGTATAAATGTAACAAAATAACAATCACAACAATTTCTATGCTAATGTGGTAAAATAGTAGAGAATGAACCACCTGCACTGTGCATGGTTTTATAGAAGAATGATTTACACGTTGGTTCACAGATGCATCTAAGACCAGCCCTTTCATTAGGCAGAATGAGGTGGTTGCCTCATATGGTGGAGACTTGGTGATATACAGCAGGGCAGCAACAGCAGCCCCCTGGCTATCCCCACCCCCACTATTGTTACTGGCAGCCTGCTCGGCATCCCCTAATTTACCCTGCTTCCCCTCAGATGTGATGGGGGATGTTGTCTCATCACCAGTGTTGAAGTAAAATTCAACTGCCACTCCAGTCAGGAGCAATGGTGGGTACTGCCATCTTATCCTTTGACTCAGAAGGTAAATGCCCTGGATTAAGGCTTTTTTGGCTCCAGACATCAAACAAAATTGATGATTTTGAGGTAAACTTGGAGGTAGCACAGCCATAATCACTTGGTTTCCTTTCAGACACAGGATGCTTCCTAGCTCAGATCTGACCAAGTAATGGAAAGAGGTGTCTGGCAAGGGTCATATGAGTAGCTCAGCTAGAATGTAGGTTGTTGTGCTTCCAGATTCTTAGAAACACAAAAACATAGCGAGTCAAAAGGGACCTCTCGGGCCATCTAGTCTGACCCCCAGCTCCAGCTGGCTGCACTCATGAAATGCCTACTATGTGCATATCCGGCCTATCCTTGAGCACCCTCACCGATGGAGCTTCAACCACCTTCTATGGAAGCCCATTCCATACCCTTTCCATACTTAGTCAACCTTTGTTTTGTAGGCTCTTAGAAACCTATGAGGAAAGGTGGAACTGTATATTATCAGCTCATTGATGATGAACTCTATATCTTTGTATATTTCCCTTCAGTCTTAAATGTATATTGAACTAGGAGTAGGGAACATAATGGAAGCAATCAGGAACTACAGGGGAAAATGTGGCAACTGATAGTTCATTACTAGTCTCCAGGACATACTTCCTAAGAACAAATGGAATGATTTACATTTGTATTTTCAAATGTTTGCCGCATCATTTTTTCTGGCTATAGAATTGTTTAGAAGTGGTAGAACTTAGAAATGGGAGAGCCAGTGCTGGTAAGATTCCATCAATGGCTCCAGTGAGTCTACTTTCTTGTTCTCACTACCACTGTCATTAGTTGCTATTCATCTTCCTTCTCATTGTTGTTACCACTTGCTTTCTTGACAAAGGAGAGGAAGTAAGCAAATATACTCTCAGAAAATAATTGCCAATGACATTTCCACAGTGGTTGGAGGAGGCGAACCAAGACTGGAAATTGCACTCCAATCTTCCCTCTGTCCTTGGAGGGAAGATGGCCCCAGATACCTTCACAAGGATTATGTATACTGGTTACTGTGTTTCTTTTTATTTTAGTTATTATTAGCAACATTCAGAGCCAAAATAGCCTTCTTGAGGTAGTTCATAACATTAAAGCATCACAAAACAGCTAAAAAGTCATACACAAAATTCACAATGATAGCCACCTAAAAACAATACATTCCAAAATCAGCAGTAAAATAGCAGTAGTTGTTAAGAGCATAGACTACTATTGTATAGATGAGTATCAATTATAAAATAATGTAAACAGCCCAATGTTTAGAACCTATTTAAAATTAATTGGACAGAGAGCCAAATGCACTTTCTCTTGTAGGAAGTGGGTATGAAGACTCTAGAGATATTTACTGTTTTTCTCTAGAGATATTCAAAATTTTCCTTAGAGATATTCAAAATTTTCCTTAGAGATATCATATTATATGTTAATATACACACAACTTTTTCTTGTGTCATTTATGGTTATGAGTTCAAATATCCCTAGATACAGTTCTTGAGATTACATTTTTCCAGCTGCTGGATGTAGACATTTTCTTTTCAATAGAATTAATAATTATCAGTGCAAAATATTGCTGGTGATAGAATTGAAAAGAAAACTGTTCACATTTTTAAAATATTGTTTCCTGTCAGTTACTTCAAGAGTAAATTTGGAAATGCCCTTGTGAGAGTGTAAAGAAGTACTTTGTGCATATATCTGTAAACCATAATAAAATGTTACATTTACATTTTATGGGTTTTTACCTAGACATCCCAAAGACTTCATAAAGTCTGAATTTCTTCATATATAATAATGCATATTTATAGCTCAAGCACCTTTACAGAAATATATAAAAGGAAAGATAAAAGATAAAAATCCAAAGTGTAAAGAATACACTTCAACTTTTTAAGCGTCTGTGTTATCTTTCCAACATTTCTAGAAATTAATCAATGGTTTTTTCATAAAAAATGTATGACTCTGATTGGAAAGAAAACATATTTGTAGGTGATTGTATAATAACATTAGATCTGGAAAGTATTTCATCTATACTTGTTTAAATAATGTAGATAACAGATTTTGTTAACAATTTTCAGCAGCTCCAGCTTGAGCCTTGAAATTTCAGCATAGTTTAAATCCCCATTTCATTTGTAGGTGAAGAAATAATACTGTTGTGCATTGATCCTAAGATTTGTTGACCTGCACACAAGACAGCCTAAACAGTGGATGTACAAGAGAAACAATTTGGAGGTGAAATGGAAGGGGTGAAAGTATGTTTTGAAGATGCAACCTGTAGATCTCATATTAAATCTTTCCAGGCAAAAGCATCCCTAGCTGTGACTGTAGTTCTTTGTTTGGATTAATGCCTACAGTAATCACACTCGTAGGTAAAGATCAAAGAGCTTTGGCACAGAATGCAATGCTTACATTCTGTTATCAAGAACTCCTCAAAGAAATTATAGTAGAAATACTGCTGCCCAGCATGCAGGACCTTCTGCAGCTATGTCTGTGCTGAGGTTCTGCTCTTAGGAAGATTCATAAAAGCTCTTAGATTACTTTTTTTTTTTTTTTTGAGTTGAGTATACTAATGCCTCCTCTCATAAAAATACACAAGCTTCATAACTTTTGTATATAACTAACTGGGAAAGAATCTTAAAAGATTACTGTATCTACTTCTTGGACATTTCCATTCCAGGCAGTTGGCCTTAACCAGGCCCATCTGGTGATAAACAACACTTCCAAGTTGGCTGAGGTACTGCCCAAAGCCACCAGGTTCCCAAGCCATATTCAATTCAAACTCAACCAGATAATGAATAATAACTATCTATGCAACTGAAGTATGGCCAGCAGATAACTGTGACCTTCATAGGTCTCACCTGACATTTAGATTACCCCAAAGAGTATTCAAAGACAGTACTAATTAACAAGGTTCTTGCAGGAAACCCTAGGCATCATGAGCTATTGGTACTAACACCAGAA